ACCCCCCCCCCCCCCCCCCCCCCCCCCCCCCCCCCCCCCCCCCCCCCCCCCCCCCCCCCCCCCCCCCCCCCCCCCGCCGCGGTTTCTTTCTTCTTGGTCTCGGGCTCGGGCTCGGGCTCTGAGTAATCGGCGTGTCGGTTCTTGGATTTGATATACGATGCATGTGTTGCTCTTTGCTACATTTGGGAGGTTCTCAGATATACATAGGATGAACGTAACTGTATATTACTTGGAATTGTTCCCTCGGACGACTATAGGTTATCCCTTTTTGGTAGCGTTTAGGATTCATTGTCTTTTTGGTAGGAACAAAGATAATAAGGAACCCCTCGAAGCGACCCTATATATAGACAAGCTGAATAACAGGCAACTGTTCGACTCCAAAGAAACAAAAACAGTTTCATCTTCACTGTTGTAGTGAAGATTGTACACCCAAAGGCGAGGCTGTAGCATGATCAAGCCATTGTATTTCCCTTACATGAGTAATTAATTATTCCCTGCACGCTGCACGTTTTATTTCCATTAATTACCATTAATTACCATTTATTACAATTCCCGGCGTCACCCACTGGTCATCAACCTCGAGAATACAAAACCCCAGTGACTTCATCTCTTGGTTTCTGTTCGATTCATCCTCGTTCCCTATTTCACCTTTCAATCCTCCCTCTCTTCTCTGCTTTTCAATCACATTCACTCTCTTTCCCGAGATTCTTCTACTGGATTCTAGACTATCCGTGTGCTTCCCTGCAGTGACCCCTCCCTTCTTGACGTGGACCACGATCATTGGCCTTTGCCACAAACCTGACCCTCTCTGTCAGCCACTTTTCACCGAGGTTTTGGTCACCGACTTCTCTTGCACATTTGGCAGCCCAGCCGCCACGCCAGAACGCGTAAAACCAGTCAAGCCAAAACGTTGAGCCGGATCGGCGGGTCACTTTTCGCCCTAAATCCGCCAACCAGATCTTGTCATCTTCAATTCCTTCGTTCTAGGCCTTCCTTTTACCCTTCCCGGCAACAAAGCAAA